TGGTATTTTAGTGTGTACAGTCATTAGGATTTCTTTTATGCTGGATAAGTGAAAAACGAGCAATGCTCTCTCCGGGACTCGAACATTGGACCTCTCGAATATACGCCGAGTGTGCTTACCGTTACACCACGAAGCTATACAGGAAAAGGAGGGAGAAAATACATTATATACTCCGGCTTTTTAAAGACAACTTGGGATTAAGGGACACAATCGCCAAATATTGGCGGTAAAGTATCATCATCTACCCCGTGTTAAGGGGGTGGATGATAATACTTAACTAAAATTCGGGTGCCACTGTAGAGACATTCGGATTTCTTTTTATGCTGAGGAAGTGAAAAATGAGGAATGCCCTTCCCGGGACTCGAACCCTGAACCTCCCCAATATGCGCTACACCATGAAGTCATGTAGAAAGGAGGGGGGAAATATCCTATAAGTGTAGTGTAAAATGTTTTTTTTTTTAAATTACCAAAATGATTTCTAATTAATTAAAAATATATGAGATTGAAATAATTTTCGAAACAATTAATGAAAATAAATACAGTGGTGCCTTATGATTACCATTGGCTCCAAGCACGAGTATTATAAGCAACCACTTAGGTGCCAATTTTCGGAAGGTGCAATCTGAATCGTTTTCGTGAATTACAACTAAATAAAGGTATATTTCACTTAGAATTGTTAATGTACTTAATTTGTAGAAAGCGCCAACTTTACTTTCCCCCTTACGGCAAACTTGCTTGAACCACGGATGCTCATGGTTATATTGCAGAGAGTAGCAAATTCGTAGGAATGAAGCTAATTAAATTATATCCAATTCGCGAATTATATTCCTTATAAATGTTTAGTGTATTGCATTATCTACCACAAAACAGATAGGAAGTATTTCCTTTAAGGTATCCGACCTCGTTCGGGTACCATTTTTTTAAAAATGGTTTTTATTTTAACTATAAATATATTAATTAAGATAAGCATATTAATGAGTGAAAACAGTTTAAAACGTAATGCTAAGTAATTTTAATTTTGAAAAATAATGAAAAATAGCATAATTTTGCTTAAATTTTGCCTTTACGGCAAACAACCACGGTGAACAATGTATATATAAATATGCAGTTTTTTTAATTTGTAATTATTGTTATACTTGTTTTGTATGCAATGAAGCAAAATAATTAAGAAATATTTATATATTCTTGAGATATGTCAAAATGTATAGTATTTACTGTATATTTTTCTATTATTGCATCCAAAATCTAAAAATAAAAAGTAACAATTCAACTTCTAATTAATATTTCTAAAATCTTCTGCTTCAGAGCATGCATCAGATTATATGAAACATATATAGAAAGTATTATTTAATTTTATACATAAAAGTTTGAGTTATGGCTGTTACCATTGGCAATATTTACAGAAAAAAACATTTTTCAGAAAACAAGCTTAAAGTTTTCATAAAGCAATTTCTTGTGAAAGAAGCATGTCTGATAATTAAAATTCCCCTGCTTTGTAACTGACACCTTCTTTTTTCTTCATACACTTTGCACTTTTCTTTCGAGAAAGCGTAATGTTTTCTGTGTGTTTTATAAAACTTGTGGAATGCCGCCAAGAGTCATGAATTTTGCACTTTATCAAGTTTTCGATTTCCCTGCTCAGTGTAAAATTCAGGACACATAACTAACCTTGAAAATGCTTCCAGCAAACCTATAAATCTATCATTAAACAACATTAAATAACACAACACTTACATTTGCTCCAAAGATTAATGTTCGCAAGTTTATGAATGTTTCTTTCGGAACAATTTGCAATAAAATGCCATTAAAACGTTCCTTGATATTTTGAGTTTTGCCATGTATGCACTTTTTTAATAACTCTTGTTTATGTAGTCAAATCCATTTATGTAGGTTTAATTAAATTCAAAATATATGTTGATATACCAGAGGTTTTTGCCTGATTTTTTTTCCTGATTTCTGCAATGCACATTTATAGTTGCACCAACTCATTGATTGATGAGGGCATTAGCTTCGAAGAAGAGCTACAATGGAACAAGCAGCTAGTACAACCCTGCTGCATCTCAATTAAGTTTCCAACATTACTTCTAATTGCAATCCCTAATTCTGCAGTTTATCGATAAAAGAATTGGTTTACTTTTTCCTTTCAATTCAGGAGCGGAGTTTTTTACTTTTCGTAGTCTACTACCGCAACCATTTTCTGTACATGTTCCAATGTATTCCAGTTTCTTGACGGAATCTTTACCATATATATCTTTGACAATTAAAAACCCCTTAGAATCCCCATACTTCGTAATACTCCGCGTGCGCTTCAGCTTTCGTAATGTAATACATCATTCAAACAGGCGGATAAGCACCAACTGCTTCCTATATCCGAAGCTGCTTCCTTTATAATTTGCAGAACAATTATATTACGCTTTACATATGTCGTGCTGAAGATTGCATGCCATTCTGTTTATTTTGTTGCAAATAATGCAAAAATGTGACATAGCTTTCAAATCAAGCACTTTGTCAACGCTAATCGACCAAGCAGCAACACATCCATTCAACGTCGAATACCCTCTTCGCCAATCTAAATACGAAATTAAGGGTAAAAATCTAACGCCAGATTCTTAAAATCTATTACAAAATATCTAAACTTAGTACGCAGGTTTATAATTTACAAAATCTTGATGATAAATAAAGTTTCTAAATAGGTATATCTATTTAAACGCTCACTTCCGGCCCAGAATATTAGAACTTCCGGTTTATTCCGTTACAGAAAAATGCTTATAACTTCAATTCTAATTAACCTATCAACAAGCAAAAACATGTATTTGATAGCTAAAGCTGTATTCTTTAAGAAAATGTAATAAAATAAAAATCGAAATTTTGACCGAAAATCGTCTTTTGTACGATGTCGGATGCCTTAATAAGAAACAATATATGCAAATAAAAATATCCTTCAAGCAACATTAAAATTAACCTATGCGATGAATAAAAGTAACATAACATTTTTAGTCCAAAGGGGCAATTTGCCCAGAAGAATTATTAATTTCGTTTTGGCATTACACGTTGAAATAACTGTTCACTTTTCTAATTGTTGCCACCGAATATTATCGCCCTGTATTATATTTAAAGAAATTAAATAATGAAGAATCCACATAAATGTATATATGTTTCTTGCATTGTGATAAAACAAATGTACCTAGAGCCATCCAGTTTTGAATGACGTAATCCTACTTCGAATAGGGGGCATCTGGAAGTCCAAATTTAAAATTTGGAATTTGTTTTATGATCGATTTCATATTTTGTAAAATTGTAACGAATTTTTGATGAACAAACTCAAGGATTTCAAAGCGAGTCATGACAACGTTGTACAGAAGAAACATTTTTATCTCCAGCGCGCGAGACTGTGCATTGGAAATTCTGAAGAAAGGCTCGATTTAAAATTATTTTGCGATATTTTTGTTGAACTGAATTTTATGGTTTAAGAGCGAAGAACATGATATTTAATAAATAAAGGTACAAGGTATTTCTCTCGCCATCTTGGCATGTTTTCGTGGCAGGTGTATTCCAGAGGTTCGCGGTTCGATTCCCGCGAAGGCGTCGCTAATTTGTCATCTTTCCGGCCTCCGAAATAACCTAATTAATAAAACGTCTCTTTGGAAGCAATTTAAAATCTGAAACCTTTCTGATTTTATTTCTATTTTTATTTATTTACTGATTTTTTGATTTATCGGTAAAACTTTGGAATGTAGAAACAAGCAATAAGATTCGTATTAGCTAACTTATAAAGCAGTCTCCGGGACACTGGAAGGTGCATCAGCTTTCAGCTTCGTCGCCTGAAACATGTTTATTATGTCTGAAAAAATATTCATTATTTGCCAAAACTTCATCTATGAAGCGTTTCTTCTTTACTTTGATCATTTCGCGATTAGCATCTGTAGAAATCTTAAGCAATATTTCTTATTCTCTTTGCTGTCTGAAGGCAAAGAAAAATTTGTAATACGTTAGTTTCTTTGAAACATTTAGACAAATCCTCTATAATTTACTGAGGCAAAAATTTTACTTTTAAGGAAAAATTTAGCTGTGGATTAATTATGAACAATTTTTAAATACGTAGCAAATGAATTTACAAATTAGATTATGGAATGAAAGGCATACAATATTACAGTAAAAAATTAATTTGTCTTGCGTGACAGGTATACGTTGACGCTTTTGTTATTGCTGACTAAGGGTCACTTGTCTGACCTACAGTCAGCTAAGCCCACGAAATTCCTCGTGGCAAGGAGCGCAAGATACGCCTGTCGTTGGCAACACCCTTGAGTCCCTTACAGGTGACAGTGCGAGTTAGCTCAGTTACGCCCCCGATTTTGATGGAGAACACTCCGGGGAGACGGGTCCGAAGGTCTCCCACCTCTCTAGAGTACTTTCGACTCGCCGCATATTTAGAGTGCCCCCATGCCGCACGGACACTATACATTTACAAACATCCCTGCCTTCTCCAGGGTTCGAGCCCGGGAACTTCGGTACGGCAGTCAGAGACGCTAACCACTATACCAGCTGGGCGGCACAAATATACTAGAAATGCTTAATTATTTCCTATTAAAAATTTTTTCTTGAGAGAAAAGTAGTCAGTAGAGTTTTTAATTCGTAGCCTTATAACTATGGATAAAATTCTACTTCTAAATAATTTATATAAAGCATAATGATGGTATATATATATATATATACCAGACGGTTTATATTATCGTCTGGTATATATATATATAATGAGGAAATGAAATTACCAGACGGTTTGTATATTCATTTCAAGAGGTTAGATAAAAGAGCAATGTTCCACAAACTGCAATGCGTAACAGATAAGGGCTTAAATTTTTCTTTTTTTATCATAACGTTATGAAATGCAGATATTTTCATAATTTCTTGAACATTTTCTCTTCAAACATTTTGTTATTTCAGTGTAAAAGGAAAAGAAAGTTATAAAAGAAACAGATCTTACAAATAATGTCTTTTCTTACCTTCAAGAGATCTAGATTTTCTTGACCCTTTGGTTTTCTTACTGCACTCAAAAGAAAATTCTGTTGGATATTCCATCATGGATAGCATAGATGCACTTTGTGTAGGAGGAACCATTGCACCTGAAAAAAGATAATTTATCAATAGGTTGGATTATGGAGATAATAATTTATGATTTTAAAACGTTAAAATGAAACAATAACAAAAAACAAACAAAGACGAAAAGAATAACAGAACAGTACAAGAAGAATAATAATTCAATACCTAAAAGAGTTATCTCATAAAACAAAAAGTGGCAAAAACTAATAATAAAGTAATCAAATAAATTATTTACGAAATACAAAGGAATGGAAAAGCAATAAAGCTGTAAAATGGCAAAAAGAACAGCAATATAATGACCAAAGAAGTAATTTTCAAAGTGTTCGGAAGGAACAAAAGTAGGCGTTAGATAGAATAATGATACGCCAGCTGAAAGAATAATTTATATAATAACAAGAAATGAAAAAGACGGTAGAAAAAAAATTCATATAATTTGAATTAAAGTAATAAGGAAAAAAATCTGAAAGCTTTCAGATTTCATATTACACCCAAAACGGCATTTTTTAGCGTTTTGTCTGTTACCTTTATTTATTAAATATCATATTCTTTGCTCTTAAACCACATAAAATTTAACAGGAATATAACAAAATATTTAAAAACAGTATATCTTTAGAATTTCCGACGCGCTGCAGATAAATTTTTTTTTTTTTTTTTTTTTTGGTACAATGTTGCCATTGCTGGCTTTGAAATTGTTGAGTTTAATTAAAAATTCAAAATTACAAAATTTGAAATAGATAATAAAACAAATTCGAAATTCAAAATTCGGACTTCCGAGTGTCCATGTTCGGTTGGTGGACTACGTTATTCAAATAATGTGATAGCTGTAGGTACTGTTGTTTTTTCATAATGCGAGAAACATGCATACATTTATGCACATTCTTCATTATATCTTTAATTTAAATCAGTTTCTTTAAATACAATACATGGCGATAATATTTGGTGGCAACAGTCTGAGAAGTGAATCGACGCAAAATGCTGTTTTGAAATTATTAGCCCTTCTGGGCTAACGCCCTTCGGGATAATAAAAAAGAAAACAGTGAAGTAAAAGAAAAAAAAAATGTATGTTTTCTGAAAGAAGAAAAGGTTTTTTTAAAAATTAGTCAGAACTCAAGCGAAAACATCTTTCGAGATAAAATGTGTTGTACTGGAAAATTTAAACACTATCCAAATACGACTTAGATTTCGATCATCAGTGTGATCCAAATGAAAAAAGTATTTGGATCTCTTTTCGATGAAATAAGCCCCTTAAGCGGTGAAACATTTTAAATAGAAACATTTTATACAGGTCTTACTGTATATTAAACACGAATTTTTTTTGTTTAATTATCGCAAAGCACTCGAGCTCAAGACAGTCCTTTATCTTGGGGTGATCCTCAGTAAAACTCTATCATGGTACCCATAACATCTATCCTAATAATAACATAACATCTATCATTAATAAGTTTCCAGTTAGTAAAGTCACACTTCACCCCTTAATTTCTCGAAACAGTGTATTTTCAATAGACAAGTTGCTTATTTATGAAACCGTATTGCGTCCCATACTATGCTATGCCTGCCCGATCTGGGCTTATTCATGCAAATCTTATAGAAAAAAATTGCAACAGATTACCAATTCGGCCTGGTACGTACGAAATCAAAAGTTACATGAAGAATTGGGTAAAGAACAACTTAAGTGTTTTTACTGCCGGCTCGCCCGGAACTTTTATGCCAATCTTATTAATATCAACAACCCAGTCATAAGGATTTACGATTACGACTTCAAAATAATAAAAATGAATTTAATTTTGCATTTTTATTTGAAATAAAAATTTTATTGTTTATGATATTTTATGGAATTTTATGTTGTGAATGACCCAAATAATAGTAAACGGCCTATGGCCATACTTAGTACCCATAGTGTATAATTTATTTAATCTAATATGTACCTCTTAATATTGTGTTATAGATTTAAGGTTTAATTATTACTAGTGCACCAAGAAACTCACACTACTTTGCCTATTATTTATACGAATGTATTTTCTGCAACAGGCTATAGCCAGCTCATTCCTCCTTTCTCGGCCTTCCCAGATAGCACTTCAGGTCTATTGAAACTTGACGCACACTTTAGTCTTTTTAGAAATTTATCTTTTAATTTATCTCTTATCTCTATTCTTATAATTAAAAAAAATGTTAGAAACATGATTTAATTATATATATTTATATACATATAAAATTCTAAATATATACTAGTTACTCATGACAGTATTCGAAATAACATATCTATTCTACTAGCGGTAGGGTCCTTGACCCACGCAACGCCGTTTCCCCAGTGCGTCAATCTCATCACTAAATTCTGAAACCGGATCAGTACCACCAGCGGCTCGGTCCGAGGTTCGAATCCCGGCGAACGGGCTGGCTGCATAGGTGTTTTCGTACTTTCCCTCATGTGTAACATGTAGACGAGCCAGTTTTCCTTAGAAAGTCTTCGATGAAGGCATCCCTCTCCTTAGGCAGATAGCCTTCGAGGGCCTCGCCATATTCAATTAAACCAAACCAAATCGGCTAGATGTATCAATATGGAGCTGTCATTTAGGCCACTGATAGCCTATGATGATTATAAATATGTACAGAAAAATCATTTTTATTAAAGCAGTGAACGTATTTAATTGAATATTCAATGTACAAAATGTTTAATCAAAATATAAAAAATATTCGTCTGATTTTACGAGTTTTTAAAGTGCAGAGAGAGATTTTTGAAGATTATAAATTTTCGCAACTGTATTAGTAATAACGAGCGAAAATATAGATATAAGTTTCTTCCTCAGAATATTTTAAATTCTAAAGGTAGAGAACTTTTATCCACACTGATATACTGGAAAATCAGTATTAGGAAAACAATGTAATTTAAATCAATAATTATTCAGTTAAAAAAAAATAATATTCCATTTGCTGTCTTATACAGGAAGTTTAAATGGTAAAGTGCATAAATTTTTGTTATCGTAGTATATCCTATATTTCTAACAGCAAGTCTAATTAATAATGATAATAAATATTATTAGTTGTCACAAAAATAAGTTTTTATTGCCATCCATAAAAAATATTCTTTTAATATAAATTAAATATTATAAAGTAACATCAGAAATTTATTCGATTCACTGAAAACTACGACAACTTATAAAATCACTCTAAACTGCTAAATTATGTCTGATAAAATTTTGATAATTAAGGTAATAATGAATACAAAAATTTTACAGCTAAATAATAATTAGAGTTGTTTTTGAAGTATGTTTTGTATTTAAGAACATTAAAAGTTTCCATAGTATTTTTGGAATTTGACAGAAAAATGTCATTGGTTGTTTTCCTTCATTTACGTGTTTAAAGTAGGGAAGAAATAATTAGTTTGGAAGCATAGAAACTTGACGCGAAACTTGCAGCATAGCTAACTGAGCAAACAGCTTTCTGATGTAGATTTTATAACTAGTGAAATCTATTAACAATGAATGTTGCTAACTAATTTCAATAAAAACAAACAAATAAATAAATTAAAAAAATTATAAGCTTTCAGATTTTATATTACCTTTATTTATTAGATATCATATTCTTCGCACTTAAACGATAAAATTCAGTTCAAGAGCAGTATTGCAAAATAATTTTAAATGAGCCCATCTTTAAAATTCCCAGCGCGCGATGCACAGTCTCGCGTGCTGGAGATAATTTTTTTTTTTCGTACAGTGTTGCCAGTACTCGCTTCGAAATTGTTGAGTTTGTTAATCAAAAATTCGTTAAAGTTTTAAAAAATATGAAATAGATAATAAAACAAATTCCAAATTAGGGCTTCCACATGCCCATATTAGGTGGAGGATTATGTTATTCAGAATTGGATGGCTCTAGGTACCGTTCTTTTATCACAATGCGAGAAACATATATACTTTATACAGATTCTTCATTATTGAATTTCTTTAAATACAACAAACTTTAAATATAATTCTTTAAATATAATATATTTGGTGGCAACAATCTGAAAAGTCAAAAGGACAACGCCTTGGGGCTAATTAATTAGCAAGGTTTTTTTTTTTTCTTCTTTTAAGTAAGAATCTATAAAGTAATGAGAGAAAGATTAATTTGATTTGCGTTAAATTCTTCGAAATAAAATATTTATGTAAATAAAATATTCTAAATTTTCACAAATCTAAACATCAATTAAATAACTTTGATTCCGTGCATTAAATGAACTTAATTTTTGTTTAATTGCATTCAACACCGACAATATTAAATAAAACTAAACAAAACCACAAAACATTAGCGCTGTTATACATCAATAACTTAATTTAATAATTATTAAATTAAGTTATTGATGTATAACAGCGATGTATTAACTTAATTTAATGTATTAACTTAATTATAATAATTTAATGTATTAACTTTGATGTATTAACTAATTTAAATAATCATGATAATAATAATAATAATACTTGTATTTTAAAATAGAAAAATAAAACTTACATTTGAACAAAAAGGTGTTCGCAAAATTATTCGAAGTAACTTTCTTAAAATGCGCCTGAGTTGTCCTGCAAGGTTTATATATATATTTCGAGCCCCAAAATTCTTTTAAACTTGTCACTGATTTATGTACTACTACCAAACTTGCAGTATCTCTTTCAGGAGGGAGTAAACGGGTGGGGGCGTGGTCTCGTGACGTCCGTATCGGCCTTTTGTGGCCAGTCCCTTTGCCGTTGCCACTCGCGGGAAATCTGAAACTGTAACTATTTCTGCATATAAGTCTAAACGCCGAAACCTTTGCTTGGATCTGAGCAGTCAGATGCAAATGGAAATGTTCCAGAAAATCTCCCTCCCTCTATCCCTCCCCTCCCACACGTCAATCAATCTAAATCAATTTATAAACATGCTTTTATGATTAACTTTCCTCGATTTCTGAGTCTTGGAAGCTATGACTTGCTATTCAAAACATTTCAGAGTGAAAAAAAAATTGTTCAGCTTTTAGTTTAAAATTTGTGTTTTTCTCATTAGATGAAAGGAGTTTAGTTAACTATTAAATGATCTGAAAAAAAGGTTGAAATGAGTTTAAAAAAATCTGATATGTACACCACATGACTTCCTTGTACGGAATATTAAATTATGCGCATTTTTTCTTGCATTTGTTTTAAACTTATTGGATTGAATTAAATCTTCTTCGCCAATAGCGCATAAACCACACTAAAATAAAAATGCACTCTTTAAAATTCACTGTATTTGTTTATCATAGTGACACTCTGGCGATAGGTTCATATAACAGAGTTACATTTCATTCATTTTACAACTCAGGATACACAAAATTTATATCATCTTAAGAATTATCGAATCGTTGCCACATGTTCCATTCAAATACTATAATAAGTCTAAAACAATGTATAAAAGAAATAAAACAAACAAGCAAAAAAGAACGAGTTTTTCACAGAAGATTCAGTATTTTTCATACAATTAATTCAGTTCTCACTTCGCGGCAAGGAAAAAATACATAAAAACTCAAAATATCTATATTAAAAATTACGAAGTAAATCTTAAACGCTTACTTCCTCGAATAAATTCCAGAGTGGATTAAGCATGATTTAATTCGCAATAATAAATGAAAGCGTTACCTTTGTTGTTGCTAAGCTTAGTTTTTCTAGATTGGCAACAAATCCACTATTCTGCTAAGTTTCAAATATAAACAAACATGGCCACCATGGAAATCAAAAGGTAGGCTGAGCCACATTTAAAGAACTTTTCTATTGTTGAGAATTCCATAATTATTGCATGCAGGTTAACTAAAGGCATAAAAATCTTAACCACAACAACATAATTCAATCATTTTTAAAGCAAAAAATGCACAATTTACAAACATATAAGAATAACGAAGCTGAGCTCACTGAGCCGAGTATTAGAGTCTGTATATATAATTTATTATATATATATATATATATATATATATAATTTATTTGCCAAAGAAATATTGATTATATTATCTCCTAATATAAATTTAGTAGAAGTATCAAAAAAGAGGTAACACATATGTAAGAAGTTTAATTCAGCAAATTGTGTTTTAAAGTAACTTGAATGCAAATTATGAAAAAAAGTTTTACGGGGACTTGAATTTAAATCATGAATAACAAAATTTCAAACTTTGAAAAAGAATTTAAAAAAGAACTTTAGAACTTTAGAACTTTAGAAGAAGCATTTATTAATTCTTGTTCACTGAAGGGAAGTTGGTTTGTTGTTCCTCTAGTCAACCAATTTCCGATCAATAGCGATAATTACTTGCTTTTAATTTTTAAATTCTTTTTCAAAGTTTGAAATTTTGTTATTCATGATTTAAATTCAAGTCCCCGTAAAACTTTTTTTTCCATAATATACACCCAAGTTACTTTAAAACACAATTTTCGGAATTAAACTTCCTACATATGTGTTACCTCTTTTTTTATCTACTAAATTTATATTAGGAGATAATATAATCAATATTTCTTCAGTAAATGAATTATTATTATCTTACTTTGAAGCTACTGCGCATGTGTTAGAAAAACATGTTTTCGAACTAAGTGAATTTAAGATCATTCAACATTATATGTATAAATATATTTATATACGTTTGGTGCCACCAATTGCAACCATACGAGGTGCACATCTACATGTTATTCTATAGACAAAATTTCAACGTTCTGAGGCTGCCCGTTTTTGACGTACAGACGCCACGAAAAATTCTCTTTAGAATTCATTTTAAATAAGTTTTATATTTTTTTGGAAGAAAAGAGTCCTTTATTCTGTCCTTACGTGCGGATGTCACGCAAAAATATCGTTAAATTGCCTTCGATAGCCGTCAAAATGGATATTTTCGTTGAAATATGATAACCGAAATTTTTCGCGATTACAATACTTCCTTTTTACTTCGTACAAAGGAAGTGAAAAGCATCAGATACAAATATCTTCTCACAACAAGCATTAGAAATTAAGCATTTCAAACTCCCCCTTTTTTTATTGCTACAGTGTACATTTTCCGCTACAATTGTGCGGTCATTATTTAGTAATAAACCCACAAAAGAAAGATATTAAATATAGCTGTAATATTAAATTTTAACTTTATTATGCAAACAATTTATTTAAAGAAAAACAATTTAATAATAAAAAAATTAGCATAATTAAATTCCACTTAATAAAATAATTAAATAATAATGAACGTAACTATCAAAATCTGTGTGTGTTTGTTTATTTATTTATTTATTATTTATTTTAACTTCTACTATTTTTTTCCAACGAGCGTAAACTTTGTTAAGAACAGTTTTTATGTTTTCATGGAATGTATAATAGGGTATTATGGGTAAAAATTTAAATCCTACGCAAGTGAAACGTTATGCATAGGCCTTTTTGTTTATTGTGTAGAGACATTAGCTTATTTTGAAGCAGGAGAAATGAAAAATGAGCAATGCCCTCGCTGGGACTCGAACCTCTCGAAACCGCGTCGAGTGTACTATCCGTCGCACCACGAAAACATGCAGAAAGAATCCCTCCTATAAATTTATTTATAAATATAGCTTATTCAAAGAATTTGAAGGAAATTAGAAAAGCCAGGCATGTTCTTTGGTTCAATGGCCACTAACACCATATGGTATCCTAAACCTTATGATGGCTTGCGGCTTATCATGTCCTTCTTCTCGTAGAATCAGGTTCACAATCTGACTTACACAGCCTTTGTTTAAAATACAGAAAAAAGTGGAAATGAAGATAAAAAAAATTAATTAAAAATATTTCCTTTTATTAGTGGAATATGAATCTTAAAATCCTAAACTTGAATGATTTTTAAGGGCTATTAAATTTTCCGTTTAAGAGAGCAGAAATTTAGGAAAAATGCAAAAAACGCAAAAACTTTTCAATCAAAGATATTCATATATAGTTCTTTATATCAGATTTCCCCACCTATGGAGGTTCACTGTATCAGTATAAAATAGGATTGAACGTATGAGGAATTAATTGAACGGGACCAAAAGGCTCGTTCTTTATACCCAGGGTTCATTATAGCAGAGTGTGACTGTACAATGTGAGTTGAAAGATTTGCCGCGAATGATGCAACAGCGCGATTATTATGAAATAGTCGAAATTCCAATGCAATAAAAATATCTCAGTCAATTATATTCAAAGTACAGTAAAACTCCAATTATCCGAATCAGTTTGAACCGGACCCCATTCGGATAATGAAAAGTTCGGATAATTGGAAAGGGTTTACGCAGACTTTAGCTAATTACCGTATGTTGAAAATGGGAGAAAAAAACTATTTTTAAAGAAAAAGGAGTTTTAATTAATTAAAATGAAAAGGCAACACTTTTGCGTACATGATATATAGCGTACTGTACAGTACTTACGAGTATTGAAAGTCATTACTTGCTGAAGTCCTCCACGAAGGCATCCCTCCCCTTAGGCAGATAGCCCTAGTGTGCTTTGCCATGCTTAAATACACCAATACCATTACTTTCTGAACATCTCGGTCTAAGTAATCTGTTTGGCGCACACCGTGCCTGCACTTAAAATTTCTTAGCTAGCCGTTACTTGCTTTCAAGGATGAACAACCAAGTTTCTGAGCTAAGATCTTAGATTCTTCACACAGAATCGGACCCGAGATTGGATTTCCCATAGAACGTTGCTGCAAAAACCACTTGAAAACGATAGCTTCTAAATTTTTGTTTGTTTCTGCCGTCATTGATTTTCTTAAAGAACTCCCATCTTCGTTTTCAAGCAGTGACACGGAGTTTAAAAGTGTAGGTTTGCTTCTTTGAGTGTCAGAAATCGTTGATAATCCAACACTACGTTTCCGTCTTCATTTTTTTGTTAAGTTCTGAAGACGATTCGGATAATCAGCGATTCGGATAGTCGGAGTTCGAATAATTGGAGCTCTACTGCTCATTCATTATACTTCCTCATTTGCACACCGTGACCTCTAAATCCTTAATTTGTTCTTCGTAGATATATGCCTTTAATTACGAAAATTATTTCAGCTTACTAAATGTAGCAATAGCATAAATTGAGGATTCTAGTAAAAAAAAAATAATATCATTGAATGGTATTAAAGGCGGGTAAAAATCAAACTCGAAATTTTAAATTTATTTACTAACCGGCTTCTTAATGCAAATTAAAAATGGCGTCAGAAACGACGAGTTTTGAAATACCTCTGTCAAATTTTGTAGTACCGAAAATAAAATTTTTAAAATTTTATTTTTTATAAGGGATATAACATTTCTCCAAACATAAGTTGAAATCGTTGATTATGCAGCACTACGTTTACGTCTTAATTTTTTATTCTTAAATTCTGAAAGCGATTCGGATAATCAGCGATTCGGATTGCCCGAGTTCGGATAACTGGAGTTGTACTGTAATTTAACAAGATTGTGCATCCATTGCCTTCAATTAAAACATAAACTTGAGACGATAAAACACTTTTTATGACACATTTTTTTGCCGGTGAAAAATGGAAAAGTGTATTTACACTAGATGAAACACTGATTTCAAACTGGTGGCAAAAAATGAATACTTTTTTACAAACTAAGAGAAGATTAAAAAAATTCTAAACGTGATGCCGACAAACGAAGCTA